TATGGAAGAAACAACCAGAGGCTCCACTGGTATTTTCTTCCATTGGAATTACAAATAAGACACAGCTGTGCAACTCTGTGGGACTGAGTGAATTTTTAATATTTTCTAAATTCACATATTTTGCATAGAATTTTTTTGCGAAAAGACAGAAAATAATGTAAGTAATCCTTTGCTCCATTCAAACAGGAATGATTTCTGGGCACTTTTATGAGGAATCATCTTAATTTGAAGCTTTTCACTGGTGGCTGTTTTTTTACACTATTCCCTGTTTATTAAATGGCTGTCCCTTCGCTAAAAGAGAGATGATTGTATTTCAAAAGAGAAATCATGTTCTTCTATCCAGATTTTGATTCGCAAAGTACTTTGTTACAAGAGAAAAGTAATGATATAAAAACTGCAACCTGAAATGGTATGCACCATAGGGGATACAGAAGACCCACATCATACCTACATGATAATTCTTTCTGCTTGAAGTGAAAAATCTCTATATTTTCCCTATTAGAAAAAAAAAAAAAATTTAAGTAATATACTTCAGTTATGAACCCTAAAAGCCATGCCACAGTGGATGCAGAGACAAATCAATCCAAAGGTAATCTTTAATGATTCTTACATGAGGATGTTCATTTAAAGCACAGAGAATATTTTATGCTCCTTTGTGATTATTATACAAGAAGTACATTTTTATGGTATTGAATTGAACCCCTTAAGGGTCTCATGCTCGCAGGAGTAGAACTGGTGGAACAGATAATATGCTATAAACTGAGCTTGGAGACTGCATTCAAATGCTGCAAGTCATTTGTCATTCTATAAGGAAATATTTGTCTAGGAAGTGACATAGTTTTAATATAGTGTTTGATTTTTCTCATTGTAAATTCAGTGTTTAATTGAAAAAATCTCTGAGGATTAAAACCTGCTAAGCAATCCTATAAACAGTTGCACTTTACAGTTGCTTTATTTTCAGCTTGTGCTTTTATGAAAGACAATGAAATGAGAAGGCATCCTCCATTATACAGTCAAATATACTTTGGCTTTATGTGGAGGAGTTATTAACAACTATGATGCTTGCTTAGATCTTGGTAGGGACTAAATTTGAGTGTTTATGACTCATCTAAAGATCTTACCTCTCAACATTGTTAAACATATTTTCAACTTTTAAGTAAATGAGCAATTAAGTGCTTCAAGGTCTGGAAAACCTGACCTTTAAATTAGGGCCAATAGAGACGAGCACCCAAATAATTCTTCCAATTCACTACATGGGGAAGGTTGCATTTAAGACATGTTCTCATTTAGGTTATCCCGTGTATATAGGTAGTTTGTCATTAAGTTGTAAAAACTGCTGGAAACTTACTCAGCTTAAAATTCTTAGTAGAATTTTATTTGCTTGTAGTGAAATGTAGCCACCTTGTACATTCTGAAGATTTTTCAGACCGAGGCAATATGTAGTCCCTGATACTAAAGTTATGTCAAACATAAAAAAAACCCACCTATTTTAATTCTGCAGATCTGCAACTGATAGTAGCTGAAACATCAGCTCCGTGGGAAATGGCATATATGCCTTGCTTTCCCCCTGGAACTTCAATGAGAGAGATGAGATACTGAGGCCTCAAAACTGATCTGCCACCAAAGACATCTTTAGTTCAAGGTATGCTTCACAACTACTTCTGACCTGTTCTCAATGCATCACGTAGTTGCAGGCAGCACCTCTTGCAAGGCAGTGCAGGCAGGCTTACATTTACAATATGCACTCAAAGACTGCCCTAGGTGAGTGAAATGTCTGCCTTTTCTTGAGGAAACCCTATAATCAGGCCTTTTTTCAAGCTTCTTGTTTCTTCTCAAGGACACACATATACTAGCATTGCAAAGGGGTACTGCGCCTTGAATAATATAAAATATTGTTCATTTTTCTGCTATGTGAAATTTATTAGGAAGGATAAATAATGAGGAGAGAAGGCAGGCATGTCAAAATTCTGTGAAACCCAATGCAGAAGGACCTGTTTGGCAAATACGCATCTGTTCAACACTTCAGGATCCCTCTGAGAGGACGTGTTGGCACCACACTTAAGCAGAGAGCTATATTTTGTCCTCCTTAACCTTCAGATACAGTTCCCGTTCCCTCCCTCCCCCTGAAACAAACTTTCAAATAAACTTGAAAATTCACAGCAGTGCTTAGTAAACATATACACGGTATTGTATGTAGAAAATGAATGCATATTCATCAGCAATGAGTGAAAATTCAAGACACTGAAAAGCCAGCATAATAATACCAACCTGCAATTGGTGAGTCTGTTGCTGCCATGAATGATGTGGGTTTTGAATGATTTATAACAGACATTCAATGTACAGCAGTTGAAAGATATGCTGGGTCTTGGAGAAGACCCAGATTCGCGGCCAGAAGCCAGAATAAAAATACGGTTTTGGCTTTGGACTGTAATTGCACAGTGGATGGCAGAATTAAATTCTTCATGCAATTTGGATGTGCTACATTGATTTAGAGTCTAATAGACACAGTTTCATATAACCTACTTAGATTCCATCTAAAAGAACAAGCTAGTAGTGGAACTCAGTTAATGTGCCAATTACTCAGTAGTCTCCCCACATAGCTAAGCACTATTAAAAAGTAAGTTACAGAAGGAGAAAAATACCCAATTTGTATCTGAAGTCTTTGGGTAAAACATTTTCATGAACGTAAATAATACTGGTGTTTTACTAGTAGTATTCTTAAAAATATTACTGCATTTTAAACTACGGTTTTCTGAAGCAGGGCAAACACACAGAATTCCCACTAGGTAGCTTTTCAAATTTCAGAGTTAATGCATTCTAGTTAGTGCAAGGTAAACAGGAAAAAATAATTACGCTATTTGATAGGATTGCAGGCACCACCTGGAATGGCACCACCGCAGAAGGAAGACCCATAATAAGCAAGAATAATAGCTTTCACAAAGCCAGACTTTGGTGTCTCAGGTAAGAAATTACTTGCTTGTTCTGCCTCTGCTGATTCTATCACTTGCTTTTCTTACAGGCAGGAGTTTGTGGTGATGAAACAGAATCACAGAATATTAGAATGGTTTGCGTTGGAAGGGACCTTTAAAGATTATCTATTCCAACTTGTTGCTGTGGGCAGGGGCACCTTCCACTAGACCAGGTTGCTCAAAGCCCCATCCAACTTGACCTTGAACACTTACAGGGATAGGGCAGCCACAACTTCTCTGGCAACCTGTTCTAGAGTCTCAAGATCCTCACAATAAAGAATTTCTTCCTAGTATTTAACCTAAATCTCCCCTCTTTCATCTTAAAGTCACTTCTCCTTGTCCTATTCCTACAGACCCTTGTAAAAAGTCTCTTTCCATCTTATAAATCACCTTTATATATCAAAATAAGCTGCATTCATTCTCTCCTTGCTATATTCTTTTCATGAAGACATGAGAACACGGACAAGGTGGACAGAAACTGTATAGGTACATAGCAAGCAAAGGCATAAAACGTGTTTGAGTAAGGTTATGTTAAATGTGTTAAAAGTGAGGTCACTGAAAACAGAGAAGCAGCTTCTCAACACTTCAGATGAAACCTGGCACATTCAGATCTAGCCCACATTCAGCACTGATTATGTATAAATCTGAATATAAAGCAGATCTAAATATTTGTGGAAAACTATCTTATTCCCAGTAGGAGTTTTAGGCTGAATACTGAGTAAGCACATGATTACATTTATTTAAAAAAAAACCAAATCCAGCACATAAAAGCAGTTGGTCTAGAGCCCAGTGTTTACAGATTTAGTTTTCATTATTTGCATAACCCTGTTTGTAGGTGTGAATACATATGTTCATATATTCTAACAGAAAAAAAATAAATCTGTCCCTTCCTGGTAAATCCTGATCAGAAGATTATTGCAGCTACTTAGTGCTTAGTTATAGAATCTGAGATGGTTTTCATTCCAATTTCAAATTATTAAATCCTTCTTTATTCTTTATTTCCTACTCTGAGCAGCAGACTTGATTTTACCTTGGGGGGCTTCTGAGAACAAGGTTCACAATCATTGCAGAACACCTGCGAACCCTTCAGGGGTGCCTGTTGCTGCCAGGTAAGAATAAGGAAAAGGCAGCCACAATGGTACGGGCCAAGAAAGCTCCAGTATTTTCAAATGAGCATCATGAGCAGCCTGTACTTGAGAAGGAGCAACCCCATTTACCAGTACATGCTGAGGGCCTCCCAGCAAGAAAGGTGTTTGACAGAAAAGGACTTGGGCTCTGGTGGACACCAAGTTGAACATGAGCCAGCAAAATGCCATTGCAACCACAAAGGCTAACGGTATCCTGGGGCAGGTGACCCTGTCTCTTCAACACTGGTGAGTACACACCTGGAGTGTTGTGTCCAGTTCTGGGTTTTGCAGTACAAGAGAGGCATAGACATATTGGACAGCATTCAGCAATGGGCCACAGAGATGATGAAAGGACTGGATTGCCTCACATACAAGAATAGGCTGAGGGAGCTGGGACTGTTCAGCTCAGAGCAGAGAAGGCTCAGAGGGGATCTCATCAGTGTATATAGATACCCAAACGGAGGGTGTAAAGAAGATGGGGCCAGACCTTTTTCAGAGGTGCAAGTGACAGGACCAGAGGCAATGGGCACAAGCTGAAACACAGAACGTTCCCTCTGAGCATCAAGAAAAACTTTTTTTTTTACTGTGTGGCTAACTGAGTATTAGCACAGGCTGTCCAGAGCTGTCCTTGGAGACATGTAAAAGCCATCTGGACACAGTCCTGGGCAACTGACTGTAGGTGGCTATGCTTGAGAAAGCGTGTTTGACCAGGTGTCAATAGCGCTGCTTTAGCTCTCCCTTTTTTTATCTGGACACCTTCAGTATTTCACCTGCATTGATAACGGGAAACAGCCACGTGAGAAAGTCACTGGTTTGCACTATATTGCTAATAATTTCCTGGCCCCTATCTTACCATCAAGTTGAACCTGCAGTTGAAGAAAGAGAACACTATGAAGTGACTTACCCTCCTTCTTCAGAGTATTTGTGACCAAAGGCAAGGATGTCAGATGCCCGGCCGCTGCCATCGCATACCACAACAGGAACAGGAGGAGTGTCTCTCAGGTACTCCAGAACAATTGAGATAACATTGGGACCTCCTTCCACAATAAGGGCAACCACTGGAACCCCTTGACCAATTCCTGGAATAAAAGAAAGAACGAACGAAACAAGCAAACAAACAAACAAAACCAAACCCAAAAAGAGAAGGAAAAAAAAATACAAAGCCAGCAAACAAAACATAACGGAACATAGACAAAAAAAAAAGATCACACTGAAGTTACTGCATTGTGACAGTAAAGTGTTACATTAGAGAAAATGACATTCAGAAAATCATAGATTTTAAAGACAGAAGGGACTGTAAAGCTACTTTGTCAGTTCCACTTCACAAAGCAGGATTTTCTAGAACTGTTTTAAATATAATAGTTAAGGTTGAAATAAACCATGTTTATTTTTTTTTCTTTCAATAGTGAATCTTGGTTTGAAAGCACAGAGAAGTTACAAGTCTCCCAAACATGCTCTGTCATGACTTTGTAGCTTGCTTGTAATGTAGATTTTTGCATGGTGTCAGTTTGCAATCATCGGGTCTTCCAGCAGCCTTGCTTGCTATTTTAAAATCCTCTCTATGATATTTTTGTTGCTGTATTAAGATGCATTTGATAGTTGCAGGTGGATAGCACTTTCACCTTCTGTTTAGTAAACTAAGCATATTCTGCTACGAGTCAATGCAATGTTTGTTTTCCAGTTCTAGTTGGTCTTACAATTTTCTCTGAATTCTCTCCAAATTTGGCAGCATATTCCTTGATTTGCAGATCTCCAGAGAGAGCTGAACTAGTGCTTGAACCAGAGGAGAGACATCTTCATTTCAACACTTGTAACATAATTAGATGGGAGCCCACCACAAAAGTTGCAGTACAGACTTTGCCAGAAAAATCTGGATTTAGAGAAAGTCAATCTGACACCAGGCTGGTGTAAACATGACTGAAAAAGCTGGTTGTCACTTCTTGACCAGTTGAGACTGGGGACATTCAAAAGGATCCAGGCAGTAGAACTAGTTGATTTTAATTACTGTCAAAAAATTAAGTGAACTATTCCTTAGAAAGTTAAAAACCCCACAAATCTTTATATGAAACAGCAAAATATTGTAAGCACCTCTGGAACTACTTTACAAGCAAACACTGTGTTTCCCAGAGAGACTTCCAGCATGCTTTGTTATGGCTGCATCTACTGTCAGTTTGTGGCTCTTTTATTATATAACTTAAGGAAAGTGCATGGTGTTCATTGAAGTTAATAAATATTATTATGGTAATAAATATCAATTAATATTTATGTAAATAAATATTAACTATACGCAGAAGTATAAAATCTGGGCTAATGAAAGAGAGTAATACGGGTAGAACATAACACGGTGATTAACAGAATGATTTGCACAATGCTCACTTGTCAATTTTTTAATTGGTAATAAGGAGTTCTCTTAATTGCTGCTTTACCTAAGCAGTTAAGTTCTTTTGGTGGTTAAGTTTTTTTCAAAAGTCTTACTGAAAAAGCAGTTTTAGGGAACAGAGTTAAATAAAAAAGAAAAATTTAAAACTTTGTTTAAGAAAAGTGAATTATAAGTCCCACATGTACTTCCATTAACTTTAAGGGATTTAAGCTAAAGATGAATTTTGTTTGGAAAATTTGTTTACCCACATTCATTTTACACATGCTTAAAACTGCATTCCTTAAAAGTGCATTCTAAATGTCAGCAATAAAACCCCATTTTCCCCCTGAGAATCCTATAATACAATTTTTTTACCATAATAATACATGCAATGTGATACATCTGGTTGCAGTTGAGCATGCAGCATAGAACTTCATGTCACAAGGCTGCCCAGGTTTTCCTTCCTACCAAGTGACAAAAGAAATGTTGTTTATAGTTATGCCCAGTCCAAAAACTCTTTTTTTTTTGTTTGTTTGTGTGTGTGTGTGTGTGTGTGTGTGAACAATTGCTATTGGAAGATGAATAAAAATGAAATTCTTGGTGTGGAATATTTTTCTTTATGATACTTCCCAACATAATCACATGGTGGCTGATGAGAGACCCTCTTCAGTTAAAATTTTAATACAGAATTGGAAAGAGTTATTTTGCCATTTAATTATTACTGGTCTGGCTTCTCTAATGTTACCAAGTTCTTTCAACTTTCTATGAGTACTTGCTTTTTTATAGATTTTCTTTATACCACACTGTATAGCAAATACTTAACACCAATTTTAGTTCTACTGGTTTTTTAAGATACGAGTTAAATAATGACTTCCCTTCACTGTTCTTGATTCAGTCCTTGCTCAAAAGACTGAACACAGGGCAGTTCCAACAAGAACTCTGACTAGGAGGCTCACAACTAGCTGAAACCTTTAATTAGCATTCCTTTTCGGCATTGTAGCATTTTCTTCTGGAAACTGACTGGTAGGGCCCACTTTCTTTCATTATGGACCAATGAAACCCTTCAGTGCTGTGTTTAAAAGCCTGATCCTAACATTTACCAAAGGTGGTAATTTGTAAAGTATTTTCTATAATGCCAGATATGAAATTGTTAGCAAAGCTGAATGTGAACAGTTTTGAATGTATATAATTAACTAACGGGTAGAGCTGTTATGTGCAACAGTACTACTAATAAAGTGTCTTGAAAAACTTAGTCTGAACCTATAATTACTATTAATGACTTCGAAACAAGAACTAAAACTGGTAGTAACATCTTTTAATAAGATAATATTAAGACATATTCTAGGTAATGAGTCAAATAGGGCCTGGATGACAATAAGGATTAATAGAGAAAAGTTCATAGCGCAAGATGCAAAGTAACTTACTTGATGATTAATGAATTCTGCTGTAAACTGGGAACTCATTAGGAAGAAATACTAGAAAAGAGAAAGGTATCATCCAGCTGATCACAGGACAACTGAGTCTTTGGTATAGCAAGACCACAAAGAAAGCACATATGATCCTTCCAGGATCATATAGCAAAGCATTTTCAGTAGGAAATATGGGCACATCAGTGCCAATGTGTAAGCCACTCATGAAATTCCATGCAAAATACTGTCTGTAATTATGCTCACCCATGTTAAAAAAGAACAAACTGGAACAAATGGAGGAAAAAGCCAGAAGGAGCATATGGAAAATCAAGACCCAATCCTAAAAGACAAAATTAGATGAGTTTGGCTCATCTTCCTTAGCAAATTGAAGGGTGAAGAGACAATATGTCTGAATACCCCCATGACATACAGCACATTGGCCATTTATAGTTTTGCATGAGTTCAGAAGATTTCTGGCTATCAGAGGCATGAATTCTTCACATCCTTGTATGACTAAAAGGGAAAAACTTACTGACTTCGGAGTGATGCTCAAAAACCATTATAGATGCAGTCACCTTACGTATCTCAAACTGTTCCTAAAGCAGGTTCCTTCAGTCTGCTGGAAATTTTTTAAGTCCTCATGTATTCTGCTAGATATTGAGCAGCTATGTAATTCTAAAAGTATACATAATCATGGTTAGTCAACAGTTGCATGGCATATAGCAGTTCTCTGCAAGTGTTTCAGTTGTTTTTCAGTGTGGTTAATCAGATGGCATTTTTATTTTCCCCTAATCCTGCAGGAACACATCCAGCATGAAAGCAACCTCTAATTTGAGGCTACTAAAACAAATTCAATGAGGCTAAAAAAGCCCAACTCATGTAAACCTTAATTTATCATATATGAATAAGTTTGAGATTGAAATGTAACTCTTTCAATTATTCTTGTAGGTGTCTTTCTGAAACAAAATATTTTAAAAACAAGGTTGATTTTTGCTTCTTGTTTTCTTTTGGAAGTGCTCCATGAGTTTCAGCAAACAGATGTAATTTTTTCTTTGTCATTTTCACTGTTCCCCATAAATAATTTTTGTTTAAAAAAACATAATGTTTTATTAGCGAGGAGATAAAATTAGAAAGTACATTTCTAGAAGTGCCTCCCACTGTAAGTGAAGCTCAGGTTCATGACCATTTGAAGAACCTGAACATACATAAGTCTATGGGACCTGATGAGATCCACCCCCAAGTCCTGAGAGAACTGGCTGATGTAGCTGCCAAGCCATTCTCTCAGAGCCTTCTAGGATCCATGGTAAGGCACATGGAAGACAGGTGGATGATTTGAGACAGTCAGCACAACTTCACCAAGGGCAAGTCCTGCCTGACCAACCTAGAGGCCTTCTATGACGGAGTTACAACATCAGTGGACAAAAGAAGGGCTATAGAAGTTGTCTATCTGGACTTGTGTAAAGCCTTTGACACAGTCCCCCACAACACCCTTTTCTCTAAACTGGAGAGAGACAGATTTGATAGGTGGACTGTTCAGCGGATGAGGAATTGGCTGGATGGCGACATCCAGAGGGTAATGGTTAGCAGTCCAATATCTGGAGGGACATCAGTGACAAGTGGCATCCCTCAGGGGTCCACAGTGAGGCAAATACTGTTTCATATCTTGATCAGTGACATAGACAAAGGGATTGAGTGCACCATCAGCAAATTTGCAGATGACATGAAGCTGGGTGGTGCAGTTGACACACCCAGGGGACAGGAAGCTATCCAGCAGGACTTGGGCAGGCTCAAGAGGTGGGCACATGTGAACCTCATGAGGGTCAATGAGGCCAAGTGCAGGATCCTGCACCTTGGCTGGGGCAAACCCCCAGTATCAATACCAGCTGGGGAATGAAGGGATTGAGAGTACCTCAGAGGAGAAGGACTTAGGGGTGCTGGTGGATGAAAGATTGGACATGGGCTGTGTGTGCTCGCAGCCCCGAAGGCCAACCGTATCTTGGGCCTCATCCAAATGAGTGTAGCCAGTAGGTCAAGGGTGGTGACTCTGCCCATCTGGTTTGCTCTGGTAAGACCCTATATGGAGTTCTCAGTACAAAACAGGTACGTACCTGTTGGACAGGGTCCAGAGAAGGGCCACAGAAATTATCAGAAGGATGAAGCTCCCCTTCTATAAGGAAAAGCTGAGAGAGTTGGGGTTGTTCAGCCTGGGGAAGAGAAGACTACAGGGAGATCTTACTGTAGCCTTTCAGTCCTTAAAAGAGGCTTACAGGAAAGATGGGGAGAAATTTTTTGTCAGTGTCTGTTGTGATAG